CAACAAGAGCAACACCCCGTTGTCATTTGTTACACTATAAAAACACCAGTTTAGGAAACTCCCAAAATTTGTATTTTTTCAAAGGGGTTAGCTCATATATACTTTCAGTCAAAAATTGTAAAGTTTTACATCCTTTATTTTTTAGGGCAGAATAGGCCAAGAAAAAGTGTTTAGAGACGTTTTACATTAAGTAGCCCTTTTAGACCATAAAAACACCAATTCAAAAATATCGCAAAATTTGCATTTTTCCAAAAGTCATAAAATAGGGTGTGTCCGTACGTTTGGTCGAAAATTTGAAATTTTTACAATCCTTCTTTAAAAGGCAATATAGGCCGAGAAAATGTGTTTGGTGACGTTCTGGACGGAAAATTGGACTTTCTACACTATAAAAAACATTAATTGTGTTAGGAAAGTCGCGAAAACTGCATTTTTCCACAGGGGTTAGTCCATTTTTTCAGCGGGAATTTTTCCATCCTTCCTTTTTAGGCAAAAAGAGGCATAGTAGAAGTGTTTAGAGAAGTTACATAGAAAACTAGCCCTGTTACACTATAAAAACTCCAATTTAAGAAAGTCGTAAAAATTGGAAATTGGAAATTGGGCTAGTCCATGCTTTCAGTCGAAAACTGAAACTTTTTACATCCTTTCGTTTTAGGCAAAAAAGGCTAAGAAGTGTTTAGAGATGTTTTGCATAGAAAAGTAGCGTTGTTAGTCTATAAAAACACCAAAGGTGTTTGTCCATGCTTTTAGTCGAAAATTTGAAATTTTTACAATCCTTCTGCGCCGAGAAAATGTGTTTGGTGACGTTCCGGTCGAAAAACTAACTACAAAAACGTCATGTTAGGAAAGTGGCAAAATTTGCATTTGTCCATGGTTTTGGTTGAACATTTGAAATTTTTATGTTTTCTTTGTAGGCAAAATAGGTCGTGTAAAAGTGTGGAGTACTCGTTTTAGGGGGAAAAGTAGCTCTTTTTTTAAGTCAAAACACAAGAAATTCCAAGATCTTTTTTTTTTGCCAACAGTGAAAAAAGGCCAATTAAGGGCGCTGGTGATAGAGCATACTGTCCACTTACTTAGGCATGACGCGTACTGTCCTATTAAGGCTGAAATCAGGGCAGTTGATAGCTAATCAGATTTGAGAATTTTGTTATAGTTATGATTAATATATTAATTGCATCCATTTATCTCAACCTCGTTCCCAGGACTCCTTCCCACCCGTCCTCGGGGAGTTGAAGAGAACTTGGAAACGAGGTTACTTTTTTCTGTACGAACCTCTTTGATTTCCCCTCCCTGGATAAAAAATTTTTATTTTAAATTTGTGAGCATAATGTAAGTGTAACATATAGATTTAGCCAGGGCTAAAAGCGAAGCTGTCGATAATATTTATAGCTTGCTCAAACTAAATATAAAATCGTGTAATGCTAAGCAGCGAAGGAAACGAGAACGGTGGAAAAACAACAGTAGGTCTAATTGGCATCATAACATAACAAAAGTAAAGCGCGAGCTCTGATTGGTCAGTTACCCATCTACCATTTGCCCGTGGGTGCATGCCAAAAACCTGAGCTAGCGCGGTAAAATTGTGGCAAATTCAGCAAATTTCCTCTGCTTTCAGTAACATGCACCGATGAAATGTACAAATGATAGAAATTGAAGAAATACTCGGTTGTCGTAAAAAGTCAAAAGATCAAGCGACAAATTTGCCCTAGAGGAATTTATCACTGTTTTCTTCACAACTAGGTTCGGCAGAAGAAAACCCCGAATGAGCGAAGATTTAAGGTACTTTTATGCGTTTTATAGAAGGGAAAGTCTGTTTTGAAATGGGAATTTATCAGTTAGCATTATGTTATTGACTCTTTAGGGCCTGTTTACATGGAGGTGGGAGACCACAGGTAGGTGAGGTAACCCGTCTGTCCATATAATATTTCATTTTTATTTTGTTACGTTTACATGATAGGTGGGGTGACTCGCCAAAACGGGTAGCCCGGTATGCCAGACCGGGTATAACCCTCAGCCGGGGTCAAATTTTGCCATGTACATTGTAATAGGGAGAATCATGGTGGAACAATTTTCGGAGTTCTGTACCAATTTTTTATGTATATATCTATTCGAAAGGGAAAATATCTTCAACTGCGAATGCTTGTCGGGAGCTTTGCTCTTAGGGTGGATAGAAAGGCCTTGGAGCAGCGCTTTACTATAAGGGCAGAGCTTGAGTCCTCTATGCGGTAAGGACATTGAAACTGTGAACCTCCTCTTGTCGTATTATCCAGAACGTAATAATTTTCGAGCCATCTTATAGGAAAAATCGTGGAATATATAGGTGGGTTTTGGATGGCAATTGTAACGTGAGTTTTAACTTTTTGGTATTCTAAAGGGCATCTGAACTTGATAATTGATCGCTTTATAATTACATCGACAAGACAGACAAACCTTGTGTGCTTGATGCTTTCTTTTAAAACAAATCACAAATATTCTTTGAAAGTATTTGAGCCATTCTTTAAACTTTTATTGTACGTTCTTGCTATCAGTAATTTTGTATTTTTTAAACTTATAAAGTAAAAAAAAGTATGGACTTATTCAAAAGTTCAGACAAGCAATTTTACATTTTAGCATAAAGTAGAAAAGCTTGATATCGGAGTTTCACCACATTTTCACGTCGAGCGAAAAAATGGCCACGGCACCAAATATTTTTGGCACCCTGCTTGCATTTTTTTGGCGCGGTTGGAGCAATTACTCACGTGTACACGCTTCGGTATCAAACAAAGTGGTGCCCCAACTTTTAGGAGTACAGACAAGAGGTAGTCTCGGTTGTTTTTACAAAAAATGGCTGCCGCTAAATAACCAAAGAAGAATCGTGGGATTGCGTAGTCAAACGAGGGCACAGAAACGTCAATAAAATTATGAGCAGGATAATAGAATTGCCCTCGCTGCAAATAGCCACTTTTGCGAGTGCCTTTGGTCTTCTTCATGGCTTCCTCTTCTTTTTATGTGGCGATGTATTTCGTCCCTCAAACGTTATCAATGTAACGGGTGCGTATTGAACTTTCAATCGGAAGGTAAAGAATCACATTTTTCTCGCCATTTCCGATAAAGATACAAATGGAATAAAAGGGGTACCAATGGAAAATTGGCATCCTTCCCAGGCGAGTCATTTTGATTTTAGGCCCTGTCAATGGGTAGTGCAGTGCCCAAAAATCACCAGAACAACCGTGTATTATTTGTCTTTAAGCTTCTTTACTTTTCTGTCAGTCCAATTCAAATACAACGTTTAGCGCTCTACTGATTAATCAAGCTTTGTTGCCTAAGTTCTTTTTTAAAATATCAATATATCTCTTGCTGCCCTTGAAGTAAAGTGTGCACGATACTCAGTGCATTCCTCCCTCGTTCTATTTACTTACTTGTATGGTTTTTTGATAACTAAAACTCCCGATTTCCCTTGAAGGTTCGTGTTATCAGGAGTCGACTGTAATTCTATAGGTTCAAAAGGGCTCTTAAAGAAATGTCTACTTCAAAACATAGGCTAAAAATTTAATCTATACATTAAATCAAGCCTAAAAGCGGCGCTGAGTTTCAAAATACTAAACTATTACTAGAAAAAATGGACATCAAAACATTTAAAAATTAAAAAAAAAAAGACAAATCTTAATGTCACCTCCTTAGTAAACTTTAACGTAAATTTATCCTTTTATGCTATAAGAAAGTATCTAGGACGGCAAATAAGCTTGAATCTGATTTTGTTTTTACTCCTGAAATATTCTTTCAAAGCATTATGGTTAGTACATCAGCGTGCACATACCCTCCGGTATCTGTTTCACATTTCAAATTTTGCTTCTTCTAAAATACGAAAAATGCATATAGACGGTACATGCATATGCATACACTTTTTAAAGGAATATAGACAATATAGACCAAAAGTCCTACTCATTAAAATATTAAGGATTTTACCAAAAACGACGACGAAGGTGGCGAAAACGTCTCTTAGGGCCTGTTTACATGGAGGTGGGGGACCCCAGATAGGTGAGGTAACATGTGGCGGGTCCCCCACCTATCATGTAAACGTGATCAAATTAAAAGAGAGATTATATGGACAGGTGGGTTACCCCACCTAAGCGGGTAACCTCACCTACCTGCGGTTCCCCACCTCCATGTAAACAGGCCCTTAAAAATTGAATTCACGCTGTTTTAACATTTATCGCTCTTATTCCGTGTCGTTTACAGCTGTAAAATGTTGGTGAATTTTTCTGGAGTTGAATTCTCAGTAACTGCATCTGAGTTTCAAAACAGGCGAAATAGGGCAGTTTCAATCGTCGTGGTCGTGCAACGACGACAAAGAAATGAACAAAAAAGGGTGATGCTCGTGCAAAGTTCTGTATTGCTAAACTAAACCTAGTCCTTTTTTTGCCCTCTCGTTGCCGTCGTCGTCGTCGTTGCTTCCCTAAGGTCTAGGCCAAACGTCAAACTATTCATGCGACGAACCAAACTCAGTGAGTTAAGTTCATGATCTTGAAAAGTTCGACGTCTGGCTCAGTTAAGTTCGTCTGAATGAGTCGTTCAACACGTTCTATCCGTCTGCTTCAGGCGGATAGAAAGTCTGAAGATCGTCTCCGGAACAAAGGCAGCTAAACGTCGATCATCACATGCGACGAACTAAACTAGTGAATCAAAAATTTGTATAATAATGTATATTCAGCCTTGTTCGGGAGAAAATGTATTAAATTGCTTTTTCATGGTCTGATTCAGTTGATCGGTTCGGCACGTCCTAAGTTCGACGTCTGACCTAGCAGACGGTCTTCACTAAATTTAGGTCGACCTGACTTAGAGTTTGGTTCGTCTCTTGAAAAGTTCGAAGTTTGGCCTGGGCCTAAATGTTACACCCATCTGCTTCAAAATGAGCAGCTTTGTCCAAGTTCCCCTTCTTGAAGGATACTCTTTCAATTTCTTCGTTTCCAGCCTAAACTCTGACCTTGTCGAAAATGAAAAGACTCAGTTGCAGGCGTGAACAACACTCAAAGGTCATTCTCGGGCACGCTTTCAGATAATCTCGATTTAGTAGAACCAATTATCGGCAATTTGGCCTTCCTTACTCGGAATGATTTGTTGAATCTAGCCTCCATTTTCACAGTAATTTCCTGAAAAACTTCGGGGGATTCACCATGCTCTCCCAAAACACGTTTAACTAGCGACTTCAGCAAGTCAAAACTGTGAACAACCTCTCCTGACCCCAACGGTATGTCCATCTCTGCCAATATTTCAGTGTTTGGTTTTGGAAGTTTGAATGGTTTCTTCAGAGTAGCAACGAACTCCGACAGCTGAGCTAACGGAAGATATAACCTACCGTCAGGAACAAACTCCCCCCACAAGACATAGAAGCTGTCAAAGTCTTCCTGGGTGATGCCGGAATCCTCGATCTCGTGAGCACGGTACACATTTTCGAGAATGATAGCAATGTACATATTGATAATGATGAGGAAAACAATTACGATGTAACTGACCAAGTAAAAAATAGCTCCAATGGAACCGCAGTTGCCATGGGGAAGATTCATGTAGTTAGGATCACAGTCTGGCGGTTTCAGTAGCAAGGAATCCATGATGTCATTCCATCCCGCGCCAGTTGATAAGCGAAAGAGTAATGACAGTGAACTACCAAATGTCGCAAAATTTACAATGTCATTTAACGCGCCTTCTTGTTTAACGTGTCCAAACGCTGACATGCCGATGATTCCGTAGATAAATATCACCAAGAAAAGAAGTGCACCTACGTTGAAAAGAGCGGGTAATGAAATCATAAGAGCCCACAACAGCTGACGTATTCCCTTGGCAAACTCTACCAGCCTTAGGAGCCTGGCAATTCTAAAGATGCGTAGAACACGAAGAAGACTGGGGCTGAACATATCTTCATTCACATTTACCTCCCCAAGGATAATCTCTGTAAAGACATTAAATAAAATATTTTTTTAGTCTGCAGCAAAACTATTCACTTGATTAATCCCCTATCCACTCAAGCAACTCTTGGAGAGAAAATTTAATAAATAAATTTTTGAAGCACCTCAAACCAAACCGGAGTTGTTAAGATGAGGAATTAAAGGAGGAGACTTAGTAGTGGGTCCGATAAAGGCTATCTGAGAAGAAAAACTTCTGCCAAAGTTGCCTGAAAGTCGGGATAAATTTTGGCTACCTACTACATTCAGAGCTCCGAATTGCAAGCCGGTGGATTCTCCAAAGCCTAATCTATCTAATTAGTTCCTGTAGAAGGCAGTTTTTGCAATTATCTTGCCCGCCAGTCTAGCGCGGAATTTACGGTCGTGGCAGCCTCATTCACAAGTTTGTTAGTTTTTGTGAATGAGTGAAAGCTATGCTTTTATACAGTTTTCCTCTGAAACATGACCTAGAGAAAAGTGAACTTTGTTTTCCAGACAAAATATATGTGCCAAATCAGGCTCGGTTCAGACGCCGAACTTTTCTGTGAGCCGAACCTATTTCGAATTAAGGCCGACCCAAACTATTAAGACCGGCTGAATTGATTCAGACAAAGATCTTAATTGCAGCTCAACTAAGTTCAAAAGGCGAATAATGCTCATTTCGGTAAAACTGCTTACAAAATAGGTTATAATAATATATGCATTAGGTTCGGTACATGAAACGTTCGTCGTCTGAATCAAAGCCGTTCCAAAGTCGCTCCAAAGGCGAAATTCCTAGCCGCGCTAGGCGAAAAGGACGTCTGAGCTGTTCCAAATTGAAACAGGCGTTCCTAATTGATTTAAACGCCGAACTTTTCATGTGCCTAATTTAGTGTATTAGGTTCGGCTCATGAAAAGTTCGACGTCTGAACCAGGCATCAGTCAGGAAAACTGCTAAAACAATGTAAAACGGGGGCCATGCTGCCTCAACCAGCCTTACTCTATGCTGACTGCAAGTTCTCGAGACTTACCTCAACTTTTAAACTTTTTAAGGGTCAATCACTTATAACCACGGGTCAGTGTGTTTTGTGAAATTGAAGTGGCTAAATTTGCTTTAGATCTTGACGTAACAAAAACAAGAATTGTCTCATTGTCAAAAAACTATGTCTGACGGTTTCGATCGCATCGCCAGCGCTAAAGAGGCCATATAATAAATAACTTATTAACCTCGTCCGTTCGGTCATCACGGGTAAATCTCAGACCTCGCGATCGGCCTTTATGTATTGACAGTCCTCAGTCTGAGGTTTCCCTGTAAGGACCTCACTCTCGGAAAATAAGCGGTATATGAGAAAGATTCACTTGTTTTTATAGTTATAATTGAACGTTCAGGTAAAGTTTAATTGGTTTTATAATCGTTCGTGCTCTGAATCAACTTGGAGGCTAAAGTATTATTTTCCCGCCAATTTTAAGAGTGAGAACAAAAATGTTGTTTGCCGGTCTCTCTTTTTTATACACGGACCATCCGGCTGGAAAGAACATATACATGTAAATGTTTTTTAGTGAGGAAAGAGCTGGGAATCTTAATTGCATTTGGTCTTAACTTTTAGGAAGACTGATAAATTTCAAAATTTATGACGACAATCAAGGATATACGTACCTACAATAGAGCTGATAACAATAACAAAATCAAACACATTCCAAGCTTTCTTGAAGTAGTGCTGTTTCAGTGCAATAACCTTTAGTATGGCTTCCAAAACAAAGATACCAGTGAAAATAAAATTGGATACACGTGATCACGAGTTAAGGAAAGTATTTATAAAATTCACTAGCTTACCGTGTTACTTATTCTGCGATTGTTATTATATTCGAGGTTCTGCCTACGAAATTTTTTAAGGAAATCTGAGTATTAAAGGAAGTGATAAATTTAGCATTTTCAATACTCATTCACTTTTTTTGAAATAAATAAACGTGTGTAACGTCCTAATCTTCTGCCTGTTTTTGATGGAACGTTCAAGAGTCATAAGAGGTTACTGTCACTTCGTGGGCAAGACTATGATTGGGACATAGTTGGGACTAAGCAGATGGGACTAAGCAAATGTACCAGGAAATACTAACATTTCTCTCTAAACGATGCTAGACGTTTAATAATTATATTTATACATAACTCTGCCTTTTGTGTATCCGTGGACTTCACTTCAAGCATGAACGGAAAGCTTAGTACCTTAACTTCAACCAATAGCAACTGTTTTAGAAATTTCTGTTTTTATCCTATACAAGTAGATATTAGATCTTACAGATTAAATAAATTATATTAGAAACCGCACTTTATGAAAATAAGAAACAAATGAAAACACTTTTCGTGGCAAAAGGATATGAAGTACGGTGGTGACGTGGGAGGACTGTCCGTGATGTTGAATCATCATCATGACCATGTTGCACATTATCACTGTCATAATTGCGACTTCAAATTTATCCCCCGTTACCACGTCATATAGCAGGCCGATCAATCTTTTCTGTGGAACATATAAACAAATACACATGAAAAAGCACAGCAAGGGGCCCGGCTTTGGGCATTCGGAAAACTAGTTGTATAGATCGTATTAAGAAATTTATTCCTTAACTAACAATAACACAGTCTTCGACCTTTTAAAGAGTCATGGTGAGTTTCATGGTGGGTATTTTACATCTTTGCCATGCTTGGAACACTACATGAAATATATCAAATGTTCCTATCAAAGGAAACCAGAGAATGATCGGTTTTTCTTATTTTTCAACAAAACAGGAGTTTAACTTGAAAAAGTTGTAATATGGTTGCCCAGGCTCCTAGCCACCGAAAGCCAAAGAGATACACTTATAGTTAAGTTAAATTACTGGATTAATTTTGAAAAAAAAACTGATTTATTATTTTAGGGTTTTCTTTGATTGCACTGTGTTTTTAGGGTTTCAAAATAACAACAGAAAATCATGACATAGCTTCTTCAACCGACGTTTTCACACTCATTAATAGTTCTCCCATTACTCTTTTAGACTAATGAAGTTGTCTGGAACATAGTCCAACTGTAGTAGCTAGTACCTCAGGACGAATCTCCTTTGTGGGTGGTTTCTTTCTAGCGGCTTCCTTAAGAAAACTGACCCACTTTCTTTGTGAATCGGTCAGCAACATACCCATGCTGCTGATGTCCTCGTACTAAGATTGAAAATTAAAGTACAGTAGTTTGTACGTAAGAGCCCCCAAAATAAATAAGGTAGACAAAATATTCGCTCGTTCCCAATATTTATTGAAATGCTTTTATTCACAGCATAGGAGGATACAACTTAATAATTTGTGATTGCATGAAACCCCAACCAATCCGGTTAGCTAGAATACGAGCTAATATCAGGATAAAAAACACCTCGGCCAAGCGAGAATGCCCTCTAAATCCAGCTGAATTGCCTGTCCGTTTGCATAAATTTGTATTGATCGTAACGTGTGCGCTCGTCATCACGTAATATTCTAAAGATCAACATCCTTGTTGTGTTTTGGTCTTCATTCTGTAAATTTGTACCTGGAATACTTTCAACCTTTCCCCGTGGAAGGTCAAGAAGCACCTCTGTTCTATTTCCCAGAGAAAGCAGGGGCGTTAATTCAGTGCTTACGTCATCACAATATTTTCCAGTTCATCAAAGGGCCCGCAGCGGCACCATCACTTACTACCATTATAGATGCAAGAGACAAGGTTGAAAAATATCTCTCTCTCTGGCAGCATGTGCATTTAGAAAAATGTTTCGGGCACCACTCACGTTCATGACGAAATTACTATGCTTATTTTGTTTTAATTAGATATAGATGTGTCAATGTTTCGAATAATGCAGATCGCACGTTTTCCTCGTTTTGTCTTAAGACAACACGTTCACGCGCCTTTTTCTTCAGTTCAATTCCATCACTTTTTTGAGTAAAGGGGAGTGTCTACAAAGGTCCTACCTACGGGTAGGTTTGCGAAAAAAACAGCCAATGATACTTTACCTTCTTTTTTAAGGTGTTAAAGTTGTCAATAATGACCCCTACAAACAGGTTCAACACAAAAAACGAACCCACGATGATAAAGGCAACAAAAAAGCAGTACGCCACCAAGTTGTTCTCAAACTTCGGCTGCATGTCCACCTAAGAGGAAGTAAATTTATCAATTACACACGTTACAAAAAATGCTAATGACAAAAAATCATCTCGCGTGCTTAGAAAACCACAAAACCTGTGGGCCAGGATCAACACAGAGCGTTAAAAGCAGGTATAATCGGTCAATTGTTTATAACTATTGTATTAACTACTACTGATGATAATAATTATGAATGATCATGACAATGATAAATTTATAAATAATACGGTGACGAAAAGTAACCAAAACGTAAGGCTAGCAAAAATTCTGTTGTAATGCAAGTCTATAAATGTCAAAACAACACAACTTAAAACTACTCGACCATGTTCAAGATCAAGTTAACCTCACACCACGTAGATTTTGGCCCATTTCCGGGGCGCCCGCGTAAAGCAATCAGGGGACCCTTTATCTTAGGGGGAATCCCAAAGGCTCAAATGTTACATCATCTCCTCTGACAGAAATAAATGGTGTCCAGATCTGTTTGTAATGGGTGTGTGTGAAACTGTTTCTGTCGGTCTCGATTCTAATTTCTTTGGACTTGGCGCTTGCTTCTCAGTTTCAGCAGCCAGTGGACTTGCAGGAGAGTCACAAGGCTGTTCACGCATGGGAGGAAAACTTGGTCTTGGAGTCATGGGACAATCATTTGGAACTGAGAGAATATGCCTTCTATTTCTCCAGTAAGCAAGTCCGTAGTCTTCCACTTGGCACGATCTTGGCAATACTTCAGCTTTGCAGCATTTCCTTTCACTATTTGGACAAAACCGCACCTTGTGCACATTTAAAAGTGGAGGCAAATCATTGATCTGCTTGTGTTAACTAGACTTGGCACTACGCCGTCGCTGATGAAGAGTTTTCAGAACACGATCACGATCCACCAGCTGAAGTAAACAAGAGACGTCGATGAGTTGCTGAATTGGTGTTATCGTCCGTGTTCGTCGACCTCATCAGCAACTGTGCAGAGGTTACGCCAATATCTTCAAATAGTGAGTTGCGATAGTTCAACTGTCCCTCAAATGGATCTTTATCTTCTGCTGCAGCCTTCTTAAGAATGCGTTTTGCAGTCTTCACAACCTTTTCTCCTGCTCCATTTGATTGAATATACTCTGATGAGCAGGTTGTATAGCAATATCTTCACTCTTAAACTATGGTAACTGCTGAGTAAATGTGTCGCACTGTACAACGGTCCGTTATCGCTGAAAATTTCATCTGGGATTCTAAACCTTGCAAATATTTTCTCCAAGTTGTTGACCACACAAGTGGCTGTCGTCTGCCCAAGCCGCGCTATTTCAAATTACTGGAAAGTCGGTAACTACTGTTCTCAACTTTTGGGCGGCTTCTGTTGATATTCACCAAGTATTAGGAAATCATCCACTATAATCTCCACAGGCCGGGATCCCCTTCCAAGAATTTTCCGCCGTCTTTTTTGGCACATTCCGGTAGATATCGATCCCATGGTTTTTGAATGTTAAGAGCTTCACGCTTTTATCATCAACTGGTAGCTGCCAGTACCCACTGCCAGCATCAAGGGTTAGCACATAAAGTCGGTTAGCAACTTTCTCCTGCCCCGTAACGATTGAATAGTGTGGTATCTCAAGTGCTTTTTAGGTACCTTGGGTCAATACAAATTCGACAATCATTGTTGGAGGGTGGAGTGTTCCTTTCTTTCACTTTTCGCTTGTTAAAACTTACGGGAAGTGTTTGTCTTCTTTGACAATAGTCCCATCTTCTCCCATCCTTCCATCTCGTGCTAATTCAAAGAGGGCAATTTTTCCTGGGAGGGCGTACTATTAGAGGTTTCAAGAGAGCAACTTCCAAATGTACTTTGTTAATTCCGCAACACGGAATCAGTTTCGAAAACACCTGGTGTTTCTTGCACTGATGTTTCAATTCTTGCCTAGATCCTAGGTCTTATTATTCCGCACGGCCAAACCGTTTCGGGTCACGTGGTCCAAGCGAAAATGTGAGGCCTAGACAAAACTCTTCAAAAGTGAGACAGTTCAAAGCATTGGTTTACATTTATTTTGCATTTCCAGGTTAAAAATACGCCGCTGAAAGACACAGATGGAAAAGGGAAAGTGCAAAAGAATGCTTAGGTTTCTTCTAGTAGACAAAGGAAGGCTTTTCTTTACAAAACTGTCCTTCGAGAAATTCGAAATTCACGAAATTTCCATCATCGGAGCGTTTGGCCTGTTTTGAAACGCGACCAAGCAGCGAAGTTTTTGAGAATTTTCAGGTACATTTTGTACTCTACCGTCAAGAAAATAGCGTTTTTATGTACTTGTACTTATTTGATTTTGGCGTTTTATACATTCTGAGATCGACTGGAGCGCCTTGATTTGAGATTTGTGTTCAATAATTTTCGCCCTGTGCTCAGCCGATTTTACTTGCGTGAACGGATCCACGAGCCAAGTTTGTGCTACGCGAATTGCTTTCAAGGATTAATTTCTGAGATTTAAATAAAGTTTTTCGAAAAATAATTTCTCCGTTTGCTGTTGTGTGTTCTTTCATTGATAACATTATCTCAAAACACGATCCTGAGGCTACAACATCCAAGTTGAATTTTTAGCTTCTCACATTACATGCATCGCCTCTGCGAAGGTCGGTGAATTTATAGGATTTTTACTTTTAGGTTCAGTTTTTTGGCACTTTTTAATACGCAGCTAATTTAATAAATTTTATTTGAATCACCCGGTTCGGTATTTCTGATTATTTAAGATCTGCGCTCTACGTTTACTACACAGAAGGTCACTAAAGTATCGTTTGTACTTTGAAAATTCGCACGGTCGGTTGAAAATAAGGGTAAAGAGTCAGGTAGGAGCAACAAACTCTGATAATTCAGTTGGAATGATGAGACTGAAGGAGCAGAAATCAATCTTCACAGGACTATGAATAACATTCTGATGACTTTCAAAGCCGGTCGGCAAAATTCGATCCCGCAAATATGCATAAGGGTTTGAAAAACAACCATTACCGATTGAATTGACCGACAGGGACTGGGAAAAGGCCTACAAGAACTACGCAAAATCAGTTCGAGATTCGTAAACTCGAGAACTTCTATGTGTAAACAAGCATCACTCCCCAACAATGGTGTAAAGTTTCCATCAGCGACAGGATACAACAGGTTGATATCACGACTCCCTTATCAAGTTGAAAGCCTCACACAGCTCTTTGGATGAATGGGTTTAGATGTAATCCACCTCTTCAAAGATTGCTAAACTTCTCAGTTTTTTGTACAGCTCATAGGAAATGACTGTAGCTTCGGAATAAGATACTGCTTTGATCTGTAAATCCTTTCCCGCACCTTTTTCTTTCGAGTGCCAGACACACTATCCAGCACAAGAGATCCAAAATTCGTGTGCACATCGTGATTAAGAGGAGGCTCATGGTCCACTAACACATTACAGCACTTTATTCTTGCACAACCGTGAAAGGTGTCTTCTCGTTACATTTGTCGCATATTTTTCGAGGAGAGGACAGAGAGGAGGCTGAGAAAATGAGTGCTCGAATCTTGAGTTTTCTAAGAGAAATGAAGTGAGCGTTTGGTAACGGTAAGTGATGATGTGTTAAACGCGTACTGCTGGAGTTCGGCTGCGTCGAATATACGGCAGTCAACATGAGGATTTTTCAGTGTCAGCTCACCTCGCAGTTCGTCTGGAAAACCCAGGCCTAACACCATGTTATAATATCAGTCGATAAAAGGCGAAACCAGAAAACTTCAAACTACTTGATCTTAGGTCAAAAGAACATGTATTCAACTCCCATAGCAGAGGTGGACCCAGGGGGAGGGTTGAGGGGGTTGCAACCCCCCCTTTGGGAAGTTTTCAAACTTGTCTGGCTATCCATGTCTATCCCTTTTTCATGCCCAAAAAATATTATAAGTTATGATGTTAGTTCCAGTCAAATCGATCGTTACAAGAAGACTGTAGCTTTTCCTCCTCTTGACTCCTTAATCATCCAAATGCAAGGTCGATTTTCTGACGAAGATCGTCAAGCCCGCCATCTGCTTTGTGTCGTGCCATCGATTATAGTAAATGAGGCACTGCGGCTGGATGATGAAGTAGAAAGCATGCCGTTCTGGGAGAAAGATATTCCATTTCTCAAATCCCTTCGAAATTAGGTACTAAGTAGATGGAAAACACTCTGGCCGTCAACAGATAGGGAGCTTCCAAACAAGCTTATATTAGCACCTGGTGTTTGCGATGAAGATGCTTTTCCAAACATCTGTCGCCTTCTGGTCATTGCTGGCACCCTAACGATCACAAACGCGGAAGCTGAGCCGTCGTTTTCACTGATGAAATGAATTCAGACCTGCTCTAGGTGAACAACGCCTGAAAAGCGATTCTCTGATCTCGCAGAAGATCGCCACATACTACTCCGAGAGATTCGAGGAAGACGAGATATGCCAGCAAGCCTTTGTAAAGGCTCATTCAACAAGGCTCTTCCAAGCTAGTCTGATTGACAAACAACTATCGTTCTTGCACTGTACTCTTAGTCCTTAATATTAGTGTCTCAAATTTGATAAATTTATACCTCTTCAATCAAAATGTCGAAAATCTACTTATTCAAACATTACCCTCCAACTCCCCCTTCCCCATTTCTTGGCCCCGGGACGTTTGCCTTGAACTCTCATACTTACAATCTCCTTTTTGAAAAAATCCTGGATCCGCCCCTGATCATGGTGGTCCGTTCCCCGGGCGAGCTTGTAAAAACAGCCAGAGGACCTTATGTCTAAGGGTTGTTCCCACACCTTCATATGTTTCAGCTTAGATGAATCGAGCCCATAAATTCTAAGATCAGTATGCGTTATTCACAAAATGCAAAAAAGGATAAATCTAGAAATTTCAGAGGTAATTTCGGCGTTAAACCGATCAAAAACGCATGTGGAAAACCAGAAAGAGTCTGGACCCTGGCAGGAGATATTCATCCAGTTAAAAGGCGGCTAGGTAACACCATGATCATAGTAATGAAAGTGTCAGCCTCTTTTAAATCATGGTATGGAAAATGAGGAGATCTGCACTTGGTCGTATCAGCTCCGATAAGCAAACAATGGCCAAATTTTTACGCAACAATTTTAATATGTTCCTTTAAGAAGAATTTGAAACTCACCTTAGTCGAGTCGACTGTGTCTTTCATAACTTCCATCCAACCTTCAAAAGTCGCCTAAAACACGCCATATAAGCACAATATTTTAGCAAGAGACTTCGTTACTTAAGTATGCAAGGCAGTTTATTGTACACCTAACAGAATGAGCGCTAATTACGTAGAAGTGGTACGACAAAAGGGCCAGCTGTAGTGTCCTTCAAAAACCGAAACACAATCAAATGTTTACGAAACGCCACAGCGACACCTATGACGATTATTCATTCTCATACGGGGAAAAAGATACTGCAGGTTAGTTTAGCTTCAAAGAGTTTCCTCCTATTTTCATATTAAAGCCGTCCATGCTAGTTTTTAAATTCTATTTTTTACGCTATTCACCCAAAACGCCTATAATATTACCGGTACTATGTACAAACAATTAATGCAATACCCTCAACACAAAAATAACCAAACTCCAGTTTTAAAGGTATGTGGTTGGTGGGATTTTTCTAACCTTACCGTCACTTTAGTGCCTATGGTAGCATATGTAAATGTCATTAGCCAGAAGTTAATGCAAAAAATAGAAAAAGAAAAACAAGTGGCAACATACAACTTGCATCAGTGCAAGGAAGCCTGCTAAGACATTATCAAAATTCACTTGGGAATTGATCCAGCGGTATCCGTCCATGGTGTGGTTGAGACATTCTGCTTTACTGACGATCACACTGGCATGTAACTGGGCGTTGTCTTCATCCACACACTTGTAGAATTTTCCAGCAAAGAAATGAACGCCAAGAATGCTAAATATCAGCCACAAGAGAAGGGAAACCACCAGGACATTTGCAATACCTGGTACAGCAGCAAAAAGCGCATTCACCACTACCTTAAGAAGGAGAATACAAACAGTGTTTAATGCCTTCACATGAGATTGAGTAGTCATCTAATAAACTACGTTTTACTTTATATTGAACTGGGTACGATTTCTATAGGGATTAAACCTGAATGGAATGGTGAATCGCGAATCGCTGTGTTGTGTTTTCGGGCGGTCTGTTTAATAACATGTCCATCATCAAAAAGCTATTGCACCCGATTTAATAACGAAACCGGACAAACTCTTTGATAGCTTGGCTTGGGTATGTTCTTGATCAGGAGGACCACATCAGTTTGTATTCTTTTGTTTTACCTTAGGATGATCTTTCTTTTCTAGCTAACTAAATCACCATGGTCATTGTTTCAAGAAAAAGTGACTTAACATGACTTAATTCAATTCCCCTGGGACATTTTACTAGCAAGTTTTGATTACCTTCATTCCCTCCAGTCGTGAGATGGCCCGGAGTGGTCTCAATGCTCGTAATGTACGTAGGGAACGAAACACCGACAATTGCTTGTTCTCAAATAGACAAGCGAGTGAAATCTGTGAGGTAAAACACATACTATAAGCGATGCGTTTATCCAGCCTTTATACAAATTTTTATACCGTAGGGAGCTTAATAGTTCAAGTTCTACTCACTGAGACAATAAAGGCATCCAAACAGTTCCAAGGAGAGGCGAAGTACTTCGTGAGACCAAAACCTATAGCTTTAAGTAGGAACTCGAGCGTAAAGACGAATGCAAAAATGTAGTTGAGTATTTCCAAGGTTTTCTCGAGATCTGGCCTTTTGTGCAGGTTAACGTCTTCAAAAACCTACGAGTTTTAATAAGACCTTTCGGTAAGCATTTTCCAGTTACTGTACTGTTTACTGTGAAAGAGATTGCATTTAAATAACATCTCAGCGTGGCTAAGTGGCCAGAACGCTGTAGTTCCGGGTGTTCCGGGCTGAACAGGGTAATGAACTCCCACCCTGACCACTGGCTGTCATAAAAAAAATGAAATCATAAACGATTGACAAGGCCAAAATAACTTCTATGAAGTAAATCATTTTAAAGATGTTAAAAGATGCACAGCATAAAATAACTTACCAGCATAAAACTGCTGAAAAACACCATGAAGAGAATAAACCAGTCAAAGTATTTCTTTTCCACAAAAATTCGTACCCGGCCGCGGAACTTAAGCCAGGAAATGCTTTCCGTCGATAAAGGCCTGCACAGTTGACAGTCTACACATGCGCAGTGCTCAGGGAGGCAGTCCTCTATGTATAATTCCTTGATTTTAAACGAAGGAACTGGCTCTGATTTTACCACACCATTTTCAGAAATCCCCTCTTTTATACGTTCCATTTTGACACTCGGAGGAGAATCAACGCCATCCATAAAATTCGTAGCTTCACTGATTGTTTTGTTTGAGCTCTCAATGTCGATAACGTTGTCTAAGGCTGCATAGAAAGAGGAAATTAAAATTAAAGCTATAATAATGTTATTCATGTATGATGAAACTTATTTCGAAATATCATGTCAAATGTAGTATGTCCAATCAAATTCAGAATCATTACTGGATAGATTTAAAAAAGGATGAAAAAGAAATGCTGAAATAAAATCAACTGTTTTTTAGTTTGGAATATACCGGATTAATTCATGTACGTTAAAGTAAGTATCAAAGGTGATCTTGAACAAAATAAAAAATTGGCCGATATCATTGAGGACATATGTCCAAACCCAGACCCACATACAACATTATTCATTCCAAATATTTCTCCGTTTCTGATTGGCCTATTGGCAAGCCAGAAAACCGTGAACACTAAAGATATTGAATTGTGACCAATCACAACAAACAAAACTAGCTGCACGCAAGCAGGCCACAAAACTACTACCTTTGTTGAATGCTACTTAGTTTTTTTTTTAAATTAGGCTTGGTAATAGTTTGAATAAATAATACAAAATATATTGTAATTCGACGAAAGGAAGTAGATTGGAAATTATACAAAAGGAAACAAAACTTTGAAATTTGGATGGTGTATAGACAAGGACATATTCATGGTACTGGTTATGTACGGGCAACCAAAAAGTTGATTTAGAAAGTATACTAAAATAAGCCAATGAAAACTCTCTCTTAAGTGTACACTCAAATTATTCTAGTAAATTATTAGTAAAAATATATATTATGTCTATACTGTTACAGTATTCTTTGCAGTCATGATCTCCTGTGTGTATTGCCAAGGAAACACCATTGCTTTGCTCATCAGGGTGTTTACTCTCTATAACCTCAAGCTTGCAAGGACGAAAAGACCCACGATTATTTTCCTTCAAAAGGCAGGACCTGCGTGTTTTAAATATCTTTTTTATGGTAGACTTTGAACCATCTGGGCCATCTGAATTGTCATCTTTGTCTTGGAAGTCAAAGGCGTTCACTATTAAAGTGACAAACATGTTGAGGACCTGGTAAAGAACAAGACTATCAGAACTTACATGCTGTATGAGAATAGTGATTGATCAATCAATAAGTTTTATATAGTCATTTTAAATAGTTTTAAATAGTCATTCCTTGTGCCATACAGTTTATCTTCGTTTTTATTTTGATGATGTAATCAATATGCCGTACTCAATAAGCTTTTTCATAATTTAAAGATTGAAAAACTATTTATGGAAGGAGTAAGTGGATCCGGGCAGCCAGTTATCTGCCATAGTTTCTCAATCTGGGCATGACCTAACTTACTGTTTGTTCATTCTGAGCAAATTAGTCAATCTTTTTCTCACTCTTAACAAATGCTACTCACCAGAAAGTTTCCAACGACGAGAACTGTTAGAAAGTAAGGGATGGCCTTGGCAGCGCTTGTGACCCTCATACAGTCCCAGAGAGGCTTGATCCACTCCCCTCTCAGCACACGAAAAACCATCAAGAAAGCGTGCCAGATGTCACTAAAGTTCCAGCGTGGCACTCCACTGTCACCAAACTTATCCGTTTTATAATCCTTGCCAAATATCTTCATTCCTAGGACAGCAAAAATGTACATAATTACTCCAAGAATGAGTGTGATGTTGCCAACAGGTCCTATGCTTCTAGCAATGGCCTTCATCTGCAGTCTTTTCATCGTCTTCCAGGACTTCGCCAAACGCAAGAGTCGTACCTAAATGGGAAAGAGTTAATCTTATGTGAGCACACAGAAGCTTAAACACGCTATTACAAGGAGATACGTTAAAACCAGACCATTAAGGTGGCTCGACCCAGTATTTTCTGAATAGGCACACCCTCCATCTTTGAATCTCTTATACTTACACAAATTGATCTTCATTGTAAAACCATTATGACACATGGATTACACTTCGACTAAACTTTATCAGGATGTTATTTTTGGGCGATCGGAATAAATGTCACTTGGCAATGACGTCACAATGGTTTTAGCTCTAAATCGAATTTCAGCCATATTCGGAATTTTTTTTTAAATGCTTTACGCTACGTATTTTTTGGATGAATGTCTTCTGCTGTGCGAAGCTTCACAAAATTTAATGTATCAGAGGAATTTCAAGATATCTTGGAATTTGTACAAAAAGTGCGGTAAATTCTCGCGTGCTTCATGGGAATTTCATGTTGTGCTAAACTCAGAACAATAGGAAATCCCAGAGCAAAGAAACATCCAAATCTATGACATCGCTTCAATATTTACTCACTCTTTCGCCCTTGTTAGACAACTTTTAAAGTTTTCAATCGAAAGGAACTTCTGGGATTTAATAGAAAATGTGCTGAAAATCTTTTAAAAAAGTCTATCGACGAATTTTTTTTTTAATCGCTGTTTTCTGGAAACCAGCCTTAGAAATTACAAAAAGAGCTCAGCATTGTGTTCTTCAGCGACTTCTAGAGCGTATAAAACCTTTTCGGAAATATCCCAAAAGTAGCAAATTTGTCTGTATTAAGTCCAGTCTTCGGTGCTTGCATAATTTATGCCCTTTTTGTAGAAATTCCAAGATATCTCGAAGCTCCTCTCATAGATTTTTGAGAAGCTTCGCACAGCAGAAGACATTCATCCAAAGAATACTTAGCGTAAAGCATTTCAAAAGAAAATGCCGAATAGGGCTGAAATTCGATTTAGAGCTAAAACCATTGTGACACCATTGTCAAGTAACATTTATTCCGATCGCACAAAAACTAATATCATGATTAAGTTCGGTCTAATTGTAATCTTTTTGTTTTACAGTAAAGATCGATTTGATTAAGTATGAGATTCAAAGATGGAGGGTGTGCCTGTTAAAATACTGGGTCGAGTCACCTCAAACTTCAGTTACAAACACGACGGTACGAAATTCGTACGAGAATTTTCAATTAGTTGCGATCCCTTAGCTTTAATTGTGGACATCTCCTTGGTTTCCTTTATGAACATGTTAGCTATCATAAAATACAGTCATCAAAATATTGACATTTTCAAATTTCAAAGCTGTCAACGTATATCTTTTTCAATTGTGCCGCGCTGCCAGATAAAATCTTTCTCAGCAAAATAAACCGCCAACAGACCTTAACAGGTTCTTTCTTTGGAATGAAATGATTCCTGTATGCTTACCATTCTAAAGGTTCTAAATATACTGAGCCCTTCAGCATCTATTAAGTATCCCAGTAAGCTGGCTGCCACGACAGCTGTGTCAAACAAGTACCATCGAACGCGGACAAATTCTGTCGGTCCCATAGCGATTACACGAAACAGAATCTCAGTCGTAAACAACCAAGTGAACACCTGTTAAGCAAAGAACAAAGGCATTGATGTCGTATTTTCGAATCTCAGTGATTTAGTGATTCAGTCATAAATATAGCGTGTAAAACAGGTCATCCTAGTAGTACTTATGTCCTGTTGACTAAAACTAGCCGCACTATTGTTTCTCGCGATCGTTTGACAAGGACGGCCTTAATACAGGCTCCTACAGCAAGTTTAAGGTTATCAGAATAATCAGAGGTGGTCTATAATTACCTAAAACTGGAGCTGTCTAATAAATCTACAGTTAGATTTGTTATCCCAGATTCATGTAAACGATCTCTAACTTTTACTCACCCAATTCAAAATATCCAAGACGCGCCTAAACTGGGCAGGAATACCATGGTAATACATTGCCAGAACAACTGTGTTCAAAACTATTAGCAGTAGAATCACCACATCGAAGGCAGGATGGGAGGTGATTTGCTGCATGCACTTTCGTACCATTTTCCAACAGGATTTCATATGAGGCAGGGCCTTGCTCGTCACTTTAATTGTCTCAGACCTTTTTGTTAATACACGGCATGTTAAGAGGTGGCGACGTGCTTTACGGCGCTTTTCTGCGTTCGAATCCGCATCTTTGGCTTCATCTTCTGATGGAGGCGTTCGGTTTCTATCTAATAGAATAAGACGTTTCAACGTTCGCTCGTCTGCTTGATATGAACAACCAGTTCGTCGCTGATCCATCTTTTCACCCTAATAAATCATGCACAGAAATCAACACAATGTAAGAGAGTTCTGCAGCTATTCTGCCGAATTAATAGAACGGTTTTCAATCTCGTGTCATAAAAGAACACAAGTAAAGGATAATCAATCTGGTCAATCATCACTGGCGTGGTACCACCGTTGGGAACAAATTAATGGGGATGTACATGTATAATATACTGCACAAAGCAGCTAGAGTGGAACTGAATTGTTCAGAGCAAGACAGGACTAACTGATAAGGTAAAGAGAAGAGAGTATTTTTGAGCACAGGTCCTTCATCAAAGTGTTTATTCCTTGCTTTCGCTGTCTTAGAAGGTTGTGAATCAACATTTGGAGGGAAAGGTAACGAAATTTGGTTTGACTCATCAATAATTGTCAAACTTGTTAGGGACGAGAAGAGAGTTTCGTCGCGAGGAATTGCGCCGCGAAAAAAAAAACAGCAACAACTGATACGCTGGTTGGTTCACTTTTTGAGTTGGCCTACCTACGTTAATTGAATTAGAAGGTATCTAAAAGTACCTCATTTCCGTCTGAAGATAATTCCTGTTCATATGATAAGTACACCATCGCCAATACAAGGTTCATCAGGTAAAAGGCACAGAAGAATATTCCGATGGCAAAATATGGCACGTACTGCGCTCCAGAGGATCTGTTAATCTAAAAGGAATGATAAGTGTTCAATTTTGCCAGTTACACTACGACAGTTAGTTTATAATTTGTCTCACGATAGTCACTTAAATATTTTTCATCACTTTTCCACGGCTTACTGCCTGAAGTAGGCCTGACGAAGTCTGGCTTATGGCGCATGTTTCCTTCAGTTTCCTTCTCATATCCAGCGAAAATCTCAATTGATATACTTACCTTGTTGTAAACGTTTTGCCAGAAATCCATTGTTAGTATTTGCAGAGCCATAATAAGAGACCAACCCATGTTGTCAAATGTCGTGTAACCATGATCTGGGTTTGGACCAGCATTGGGCATGCATGTGTAATTGGATGGACAAGATCTTAATCAGGGAAAACGAATAGAGCATAAAATCAATTGATAATATCTGTAGCCTTGATAAGCTAATAGTTTGTACTGTATATACAGTACAATGGATTTTCTACGGAAATGACTAACGCGGTGTTCTGTTGAAGGGACGGCGTAACATAAGCTAGTGTTGATACATTGTAGATAGAATCCCGACTAGGCAAGGAAAAGAGAAGCATTTAAGTCATTTAATAAATAAGCTAAATAGATTTATTGATTATTGGATCATGCATGTTACAAAATTTACCCTGCACTTGAACTGTTCCCACAAATCAAAGGATCGCCGTCATAAATAAACCAAAAACCTGAAAGCAAAAATAGCGCATAGTGTCGTTATTCTTGCTACTCAGAGGTCTCAGGTCTTGTTCAACACAACGTTAAAAAAGTTATTTTTTGAATGATCAGAGAGACTTGCCTATATGAATCATAAACTTTTGCCTTGAGATAAATCCTTACTTTGCGTAAATCATTATGCTTAATAATGATGACCATGTTATTGAGCGCTGCGTGTGGGGACAAAAATCTGTGCTTTAGTGTAGAACTGCTTCACATAACTTCACAAACTGGTCTGTTTTGGAAATCTACGAGACTCATCATAGGTGGAAAATTTTCTGTGAGTCCTTGTTTGACTCGCTGAGACGGGTCTCTCAATTTCTGGGATTTTTCGTTTTCTTTTACAGTGTTGTAGGGTTCCTTGGGATTTTGTGGGGCACACGTGTAGACGGGTACACCTGCAGCGTTTCCTATGTCGAAAGCTTACTCTTGGAAGGCAGCTATCCCTAGAGCCATCTGTACTTTGAGGACCTTTTAGTTTGGCACTGTTGCGTGCGATTCAGTCAGTCAGGTATAAGGCTATACAAAGCGCGGTTAAAATAAGGATTGACGGATCAATAAACGAGAAACATTCCACTTTCTACTGCAGCAGGTTGCGGGAATCTGCTGAAAACGGCGATTTCTTTCTTTGAACACCTTTGGTTTGGTAGAGGCTTATTGAAAGAATGGTTTTCCCATGAAAGCTGCGGCAAGACACCTTTTTGCGAGGCTCTTGGCTTTGTAGGTGTAACCTTTCTCGCAGACTTTTCTTCAGTTAATTCTCCACGTCGGTTTGGCTGTAGGGGGTTTGATCGCAAGTTAGGCCGTTTGCGAATTCTTTTTCAGGTTCATCGCTACTGCCATTCAACGGTAAGGTACTCTCCTTTAGATTGATAATGGCTCCATTTTCCCGCAGGAAATCTCTTCCGAGAAGAAGGTAGATCTTAAACTACTAGGAAGGTGCATTAGCAACGTCCACTGGCAGTCGTGAACATACCCAGGACAGGTAAAGCGTTGCCACTCACGGTTTTCACATCTCCTACGTTGTCGGAACACGCCAGACGAGCTAGATTACGAGTAGTCCCCATTTTCCTCAGGTATAGTAGAGCAAGCGAAACGCAAGCGCGCGTGAAAATCACCCTACGCGACAAAGGCGAGACGCGGCGGATTACTCGTTGTCTACAGACGAGCCAACTGCCGTTTTGCTTCGCGGAATGATTTTGGCTGTTTCATCAGAACTGTCTTCGGAATTTCACTTCGGAGGCCTTGTAAAAAGTAGTTAATTTTCTCTGCGTTCGTGATATTTAGTCGTCGGAAGTTATTGGTCAGCTCCGTTACATAAGTGTCCAGTTGTTCTAGTTCTCCCTGCTTCCTGGAAGTTACAACTTGCCAGGCTATCCAGCTCTGTTTGTTATTGAAAAATCGCTCATTCAGGGAGTCTCGTAACTGGCCAAACGCCGCCTTGTGGTCATAGGCAAGAAAAAAGAAACCTTCTGCAGGTCCAAGAGATTCAAGACCAACTCAGCCAAGTCTGTGGGACTACCAGTGTCTTTACATCGCAATTTGAGGTAATATTCTATTATCTCTAGCCATCGGTTTACATCTTCAGAGTCATATCCATGAAATGGAGCTGGCCGATGTGCACTGGCGGCTTCTCGAATCGGGCTGTTTTCGAAAACGTTGACTGTTTTCTTTTGCTCCTCTTGCTCTGATTCTAATTGAGTTTGTAAAGCAGCCATTTAAACTTGAAAGCTTTTAAGCAACTCTGTAGACCTGACTTTGGTTGTCCGAAACTCCTTCTTGTTAGCGTCGGGAAAATTTTGAGCCTCGTCCTCACTGGCACTTGATTCAATCGAGAGTAGTCGGTGAGATGGTTTTCTTCACAGAAAGGTCTTTGTGGAACTAATTTTTGTAACTCTGCGGGCGAAATTATCACCAAAGGCGGCAACTGTGTGACGTTTCCTTTTCGGTTCGGGACTGTTCTGTCTTGTCTTCGTCGTCCGAGTCTCTGTTTTCTTCTTCTGAATGTTCAATGAAAAATATACTTAATTGGTACGGGCGTACTTGGCAAGGCGTTGGGGTGTGTATAAGGCGTACCTATTCTTCAGGGTCGCTTGGGCACATAAAGGATTCGTCGTCGCTATCGACGCGGGTATCTCGGGGAACTGTTATTTCGGCTTGATTAGGAGTGGAAAATGCGATTGAACGTCGTGTGGTAGGTGCAAATCGGCTTGAACTTGTAACTAGATACGTGAAACTTGAATTTTCGTTTAGATTCTTCAACTTTGGCGTCACTTTCGGGCCTGGAGACCCAATGGAAAGGCAATTCGGCAAATAAGACATCTCGGTCTGATAAACCGGCTTATGTTTCTTGGTCTCTTACTTTGAGTCTAACAATAACAGTCTTCACTATTATAAAAAGTAAAAGTACTGAAACAAAGACCTAGCCAGGTCAGCAAAACAGCGTTTACGTACAAAGTATTACAATATGAATGAAAATGCAAGTGCAGCAAACGGCTGTTTCAATAGAAAGAAGCGCAGACTAACTGCTAGTTTTCACCTTGAACAAAAACCCGAACTATTTCAAAAATTGTAAGACAGCAAAACTTTCTATATTCAAAATTCGGCAATTGCCTCTATTTAACTAGCAGTGTAATGAAATATATATTCGCAAATATATATAACATCACGTAAGATGGACTAAAGTTAAATAAGACGTAAATAACCATTATTCAGAAACAAATTATTGTTTATAAAAGTCAACATTGAAATAAAATGTGTACAGTTGAAAAGAGGAAATGGCAATTAGTTTTGTTTGTTAAGAACACTGTTGGCTTTTCTACGATTATTACATGCTTAAGCGAACAAAAAGCTACTGAAACAAAGGACGAAAAAACGGCTCGAGCCCTTTTTGCGGAGCTAAAAAGCTCAGTACAAATTCACTGTGAAATTACTAAAACAACGTCAAAGCGAATATTTTAAGCTCGATATAAAATTCGAGACGAATAAAGAATACATGGAAGATCCCTCCTTACATTATCCGTCGAGGCCGATTAGGCCCAGGCAGGTAACACCCTCCGAGATCTCCATAATCCTTCAGATGATATGTCAGCAGAATTCAATAATTGTTTTATTATTCATTCAAAATAATTCCTAGTTTAAAAACAAGCCAAAACGTGCTTACCTCCATCGATGTTAAGTTAGTCTTCGATTGCATGTTTATTGGCACGTTTAGGAGATAAAGGGTTGTTCAAGTCTGCAAATATTCTCCAAAAAGCAGATGTCGTCCGTCGAGTTATATTCTTGCTGCTCTTGCTATGTTTTTAGCCAGTAGTTTACCTGTTTCCTCCTCACGAAACCAGTGAAAAGTTCCGCCATTTTGTACACACTACCAAAAAAACTCAACCTCGTGCCAGGTCTTCTCGGTTAACTGTCCAGTTTTCTGGCAATTATGCTGGAGAATTGACGTCATTTTTCACAAATCGCAAACTTCTTCCAAATTTGGTCAACAACTGCTGGTTATGATGAATTAGCCATGGGATTTTAGCCAATCAGAAAAGGAGAAATATTTTGAATGAATAATAATGACATTTATTGAATCCATCTCGGAAGATTTTTTCCGCCTCTGCCTTAGGCCCCCGTGGATAAAATTCTCCTCGATGTGCATAATTCTCCACATCAAACTCAGCCTCATTCAATACTAGTAATTGTCATGTTATGCTAATATTAATGGTGATGATAACACTCATCCGTGTAGCCTGGTGCTCATGTAAAGTTGGCCTAATGCCGCCCAATTTATGACATCCTAATTTAATTTAGATACATGTCTTACTTTCGTTTAGAGCTCGCTCCTGTTTGTTCTCCGTACTATTACCAAACTGAATATTAAGAACACATTTGTTTCTCAGTTGTCCAGAAAACAGCTGTAGTCCAATAAGCGCCATGACACCGAGAAAGAATATAAACAAAATCAGGACATCACTCAACAGCTTCAGAGAAGACAATAATGTATTCACCACTGCACGGAGTCCTTAAAGCAAATAAGTTTAGAAGGATATCCCATTAGTTACAAGTAAAATATATTAATAGTAAATAATATGCCACTACGTGTTTTATATGCCTCGTCGGGGTTTTAAATACATCTTGTTACTAGGTACGTAACTTAAGCTACACACCTACATTTACCTTTCAAGGCAGAGATGGTCCTCAAGGCGCGAAGCACTCTAATTGTTCTGATTCCCGTCAAGTTAGCGATATTTGGTGCCATGGTGATATACCTGAAGAAATCAAAGTTTCTCCTGTCTGGTGCTTCCTTAACATTTATGGAACAAAAATTTCATCTACAAAAGTCAGTTTCTTTAGACGTGATAACTTGAAGGTGCAACATCAATTTCATCTCTCAAAGAGCATTTTTCTCATTTTTTCTTGAACGATAACTTTCTTTGAAAATATTGCTTAGTTGAGTGTCTATAAGTATCATTAGAGATTGTAATATTACACAAGTATGAATTTATTATTGGTGGAAGATGCCCAGGGGCTAACTCCAACATACCCTTAAGCGAAACGATGAACATCCTAGGCACTTTTATATGAGAGTTCACCCGGGGAAAGATCTTATCCGCGCTTATGCCCGTAGGAGGAAACCACCGCTCAGGTTATGAGAATGCATCACAACCTTACATTTAAGGAACATGTTGTTCATTTTATCCGCTATTAAATACACCATACCCTAATAGGACTACTATGAAATCAAGCCAGTTCCATCCATCTCTAAGGTATGCGTGGGTATGAAATATAAACCCACGCGACAAAATCTTCATAACCATCTCCATGGTGTAAATTCCACTGAATACGTACCTGGTAAAAAAGAACGTTTATCCAGCATTAGCTGAGAGAGTGGTCATGTCAATCTGTGCCAGACAAGAACGGTTTTGTTTTCGAAAAGATAAAAGCGATAAACACCAAAAAATACGGCCACTGCCCTACACAATAGAAAGATGCACTATACGATATACAGAAGAAGAAGAAGAAGAAGAAGAAGAAGAAGAAGAAGAAGAAGAAGAAGAAGAAGATGATGATGATGATGATGGTGGTGGTGGTGGTGGTGGTGGTGATGGTGATGGTGGTGATGTGGTGATAGTGATGATGACGATGATGATATGATTTATAAGCATGATATAGGCATGTTGTTGTTTTATCGTGTAGTCGTAATTTACTCTGGGGCCTCTTATGGTAGTAGCCAATGGCTGATAGGGCTACCCTGCCTAAATAAAGTTGACTTGATTTGACTTGACTTAAGGCATGGGTCGTCCTTCGAGCTAAGTCCTCCCACGAAGACAACTACTTTTGCTAGTAAAAGCGATGTTCTTTTGATTTTAACCACAACTAAAAGAGTTAGAAGAAATACTTTGTCATCCTTAAACCTTCTGAGGGTTAATAACAGCAGTCACTTGTCTGATGACGTCCTAATTGAGGAAAAGTGACATCTGAAACAAGCCAATGACTTTTGATTTTGGCGGCCAAACAAACATGCATGTGATTGATGCATAAATACAATTCGTGTCCTGAATGGAGAAAACTCTTATTTCATTAAAGAGCAGGAGCCTTTTGGGCTTTTGTAAAGAGTTATAAAACTATTAAAAAGGCCACGTGACCTATTTTTGAAAAAACTCTCTAACGGTTTATATGTAGTCGCAATTCAGGACAGATTCTTAAAGCGGATAACCACTGAAATATGTTGGTGTTTCAACATATATCTGTTATTTGTCGTTTATATACGTGATTTCGGCGGCCCATTTTCACTTTTCTCTTCGCTTAAAAAAATTGTAATAAAAGGTCACGTGAAGCAAAAATTCAAACCTTAGAGTGGATAATAATTTAAGGACATTAAGTTTTATGTTATTTCCAAGTTTGATGCTGTTGAGGTATATTTTGTCAAAATTACGATTCTTTACTGATTTTATGCAAATTAGGCTCTGGGTCATGCCTTAAAATGCTTGAGATAACAGGCCCTAACTCTCATCAAGGGATACAAAAAATTAGACGAGGAAAATGACTCGTAAGAGAACATGAAAAATGGAAATGTAGCACTTGGTATTTTTTTTAGTTAGAAGACAACATAAAAATACTTAGAAACTGCTGGGGATTTCTGAGGATGCTTGTATTTTTGTTTTGTTTTGTATTGTTTTAACTATTCTCGACAATCTTCGGGATTTCAAAAGATGAAAGACTTACTGTTTTAATCCAAAGACTATTAGGATGCAAATTACTGACCAAAAAATTTCCCAGGATTCTCAAGAATCCTCAGGAATATTCACTTTTTACTGTTAAGGACTTTTTGCGAAATATCCCTGGTGGCGTGATGAGAAACGGTTGTATAAGCAGGCTATGTTTAAAAAGTAACCCAAAGGAAATAGGAAATCTTAGCGAATTATTCTTAGGTATTTTGAATTCCCAATATACTGGAACGAGAACGCGTGGATATCACTAAAAAGCTAAGCTCTGAGTTTAAAAAGTAACTAAGTTTCGGTTTACTTACTCTGCTTCATCGGGTGGGTTTTCAAGTACGAGAAAAACACAGTTTATTAGAATGGTAAGGATAACAAATGACTCAAAATATCTAAAATAAAAGTTAAGGAAAATTAATCTGCTTCAAACACAGATTCAAACTATAAATGATTAATAAAGGTTACGGTACCATTCAACGGGATCGTTTAATGTCTAAACTCATATTTTAATTCATGGGAGAAAGAGGGAGGACAACGAGAACCAGGTGGGAATGATTACACTTAACAAAACCACTGAATAGATCTATTAAACGCATTCAACTCCCAGGCAGTAAAACAAGGATGGCACGGTGGCATGAACACGCGCCTAAGAACTCTAGACACTATTCTCAGCGGTACCAAAATCACCCAAAGTGATGAAGGGTAATACCAATAGAGAACAAGCCCCATAGCTGTCAGTAGTAGCTACCTCAATCGTTTTTCAGATTGCTCAGCCTTTCATTCATTGAGGAGCTAGTCAACGTTTCCGCGCCAACACCACCCTTATCGGTAATTTATTGATCTTGAGTCTATTCTGCTAGTCAATAAACAGCGTTGCCCAAACATTACGATCTGTGTTTAGTATCATTAGTAATTCGGTCCAGAGGTGTTTCTACTTCGATCTGGAGCGCACAAACATGCATTGAACGATTGCTCAAGTGTTACATTTATTTACATTTGCAGTGAAAGTTACATTGGCATTACCCTGCGAGCAGTGGTTTCTCAAGGCCGGACCCTAAGCTGCGAAGCATTGCGTCCGGCCTGACGAAACCACTGCTCGCAGGGTACATTGGCATTCACATTTTTACAGAATATGTTAACCTTTGGTTAAAAGGATACTTGTTAGTGACCAGGCGAATTGCAAATCTCCTGATGGGATTTACAGGTCCAAAGAGACACAGTGAATTTGGTTTGTTGAATCGGAACACGTGATCTGCACTGGAATTTCCACGACGGCTAACCACCAAAAAGGTGTCTATGGAAGGCCGCTGAAAAAAAAGTGAGGAAGAGTAAATATTTCTTGAAAAGCCCCAGATACAAGGAATAAAACATTAAAGTGTTCCATAGCTTGCGTTTACATACTTCCAGAAGGAACGCTAGGTAGGGTCAAACGTCAAACGTTTTAACTTTTTAACTATTTAAAAATATTTGTTAGTTAATTTGAGGCTGTGAGTATGGGGCTAAAAGAGCCGCAACTTTCTTCAGAAGGCTTGCACAGCCAATAGGCCATTTGCACCACGAGTTCATGCGACATCATTTGTATAAAAATGAAAGTTATGATTTTGTCTTCAAAAAACCAATTAGTGGGTCATATCTTAAACAAAATAATAGTGATTTAGTTTCTCAACCCCCCACCATTTTCGTAATGAGTACGTTCGTAGCTGGTAACGTGACCAAAATGTGATTTTCAAAACTATGAATTACCTCTTTCTGAACAGAATTTTGCACTTAAACTTCAAGGAAATTGTTGAATGATGATGTGGTAACGTTTTCAGCACACCTGAGCGTAACTATCTAACGTGTAATAACATAAAAGCAAAAAGTAGTTTTGGCCGCCCTCCAACATGGCGGCCAATACAAATCATACTACTTTGTTGAAAAATCAAAGTGCCATAAAATATCTCCCTTAAATGCGTTTTCTCTCAAATTTCGGGGTAAGATAATTTTTATGCGCTCCGTCAATTTTTTGCACCAGCAAGATTCCAATTCATGGCTTAAAGAAAGCATTGACCACGTGACCTCTTAGTGCAAGTTGCCTATTGGAAAATCGTTTTCAATACTCACCACCTTGTTTAAGAACATCCTTCACATGCTATCAATAAATGACTATAAAAGGTAGGATGCATATCATGCCTCTAAGCTGTTATAAATTTACTTCTGAGTACACTCGCCTGTTACCGTAACTGTAAGTTTAGATGTCAACAACTGAGTTGTACTTACACTTGCGATGCCTCCATCAAAATCTATCAGCGGCTTTCCAATATAGAACGAAGGCACTCGGGCCGCCCTGCTACTTTTAGAGTCATCAACTATGTGCAGCAGTGGATCCTCATTTATTCGCACTCTTTTTTTTCCTTGGACGTTTTCCGCTGAGGGTGTAAAGGTAGGAGAAAAATGATGGGTTAAGATAGTTCATTTCACTAGACAATAATTCTTTTTGAAATCATACTTTGGCCTTGTGTTTCACGTCGCAAATCGGCATAAAGATGGGTTTAAGTTTACCACAAAAATATGCAAGCACAAAAAATTGCTTTAACCAAGATGAATGCTGGCTCAGCACTTTCTTTTTGCCTACGCATGCATCAACTCATCCACCCGGTCGTTAAATTGAAACCAATGAGACACTCCTTTCCCCCATCTTTCCTTCATTCCATTTATTTTCCTTTTTTTTTTCTCTGTCTCTGTTACCATTTCAGTCACCTACCGGTATTGGTTTCATCTTCCACTTTCTTCGAATCCGTTGTTTCTGACTCAGCCATACCTGATTACCTGTAAATATAATATTAGCAAGGTCATCATTCATGGTGATTAGATATCTTCCTTTTTCCCATGTTTGCGATATGAAATTGATTGCCTTTATCAAAACGTTTATCTTAGACGTTCATAGAACAGAATCAAGAAAGGAATACCGGAAGGGTAAAATTCATGAGATCCCTGGTATTTTTTTTGCTGTCCGAACAGTTTGCATTTATTACAGCCACCGACAACCCGATAATTGTCCAGGAATTTGATATTTATCTAATGTAAGTAATATAAAATTGGTGATGTAATACGTATTACAAGCATACATACATACACATTTACATACATACATACATACTTTATTGTTACCTCACCAAAGGGGCTTTTCAGGAACAACGATTATCAGGAGCGGATCCAGAATTTTTTTAAGGAGGGGGTGCACTCGTCTCTTTTTTTTTTTTGCACAATACCAGTTGTATTAGAAAACCGCAGGTCATCTCGGGGGGGGGTGCGCACCCCCTGCACCCTCCCCCTAGATCCGCCCCTGGATTATATTACATTATTTATAATAACTAATTACAGCACGTAACCTAATACTAATTACAATGTTAGCTAACTACTAATATACCTAAAAAGTATTTACAAAATTATCTGAAAGCTGGCTCCTTAAGGAACGTTTAAAGAATTTTGCAGATGGGCTTATATGAATGTAAGGAAAGATTCTAAATTGTTCCAAAGCTTAACAGTCCTGTAACAAAAGGTTCTCTATCCGGAGGCTGTTCTGAAGAGAGAGATGTTTAGCGTTTGGCTACTCCGAGTTGTTCGTTCCCTAACTTGCTTGCGGGTAATAAATTGGGATGTAAGATATTTAGGGGCGTGACCGATCATGCATTTGAAGGCCATAATAGCTTGGCCATAGTACAGTTGGTACTTAACAGGCAACCAAGACAAGCTTTTTAAGAGGGGTGTTACACGATCATATTTTTTCGCACCGCTGACAATTCGGAAGCAAAGTTTTGAACGGCCTGCAATTTTCTAACATTCTTATTTGTGATATTTGCCCAAACATTCGAACAGTAGTACATTTTGCTGAAGACTAAGGCATGTATTACGGTTAACAATGTATTTTTGTCCAAGCAATGTTTGAACCGGTTAATTTGCGCTAGACGTGCGATACATTCCGACACTATGGTCGTTATATGGTTGTCAAATGTTAAGTTCGAATCCAAAGCTACGCCAAGATCTCTCGCTGATTGCAGTGGGGAAATGTCCTTTCCCAACAAAGAGAAATGAAATTCAGGGAGCTTAGAGATCATCTGTCAGCTCCCGGAAACAATTAATTTTGACTTGTCTTGATTCAGTAGTAACCGATCTCCGAAGCACCAGTTGCGCACCTGCAGGAGATCTTCATTCATTTCTTGGACAATCCGTTGGGAGTCGTGTAAATTAAAAGAAACAAGCAGTTTTTTATCGTCTACATAACATTCTGTAGAGCAATGCCTTAGAATTTCTGGTAGACCATTTACGTATATGCTAAATAATAGGGGGCCTAGAATACTGCCTTGAGGAACGCCACATTCAGCTGCGAAAGAATCAGAAACGAAACTATGAATTCGTACAACTTGATATCTATTTGTAAGGTAGCTGTTAAACCGTTTTAGCGCGCTGGTTGAGGCGCCGACGCTTTGTATTTTACAGAACAATATTTGGTAGTCAACGCTGTCGAAGGAAAATTTCATTTCATTTCATTTTTTGTCAAGGTGCATGATACACTGTAAATGATATTTTCCGCGAACCTTATCAACACACCCAGTATCTGCAAGAGATACCGGTACCCGATTGATAAATCAACTCCCCTTTCAACGTGAACAATCCAAAGCAAAATCAGGGAATAAAAAAGATATCAAAACATAACTCAAACAGGAATGTGGAAAACAATATATTGATAAAGGAGATTACACTTCCTGTCTTCCTTACGAGATTATCATGCGGGAAAAAAATCTTTGAAATGATCGAAACTGTCAGACAAGAGCAACAAAAACAGTATTTACGGCTAATGTTTACAGCTGTTTCGGATAACACGCGACCTAGGGTTAAATAAATTATGCTGGCATAATTTCGAGAATAATACTATGGTGCATAACACACCATTTATTATGGTGCAGAATACTTTTCGCGCGAGAAGTTGAGCAAGAAGGTATTTCTGTAGCCATTTCTAGTCTAACCGTTCGCGCAGCTATCAAAAAGAGCTACTGATACACTAAGAAAGTTCTGCCGACAAAACGACTGGGGCTTTATCGATAATAAAAACATCGTCGCAGAAAAGCATTTAATTCGTAGCCTACATTTGAACAGAGCAAGAACCTCTCTCCTGAGCCAGAACGTATCTACTTATATTAATCGTCATTTCACAAACGTTGGACATTACTTGGCAAGAGGCATACCTCATGTTGATACTCAACCGGAACACTATTTTATTCCAACTGACAAGACCTTCTCTTTCAAAAGTTGTAGTACTAGTAAAGTCTAAAAGCTAGAAGTTAAAAAGGCGACTGGCCTGGACAATCTACCACCCAAGTTTCTTAAAATAGAGGCCGATATTCTTGCTCCATCCCGGACATTTGAGTTCAGTCAGTCAACCTCTTCTGGTACTGTTCCAGTTAAATAGAAACTAGCAACAGCCTTACCCCAGTTTTTAAAAATGGCGCAAGAAAGGATGTTAATAACTACCGGCCGATCTCGATTATCCCAGCTGTTGTCAAGATTTTTGAAAGAATGATATACAATCAATTATATAGTTATCTTAACTACAGTTATCTTTCAGCTAACTGTCAATACGGCTTTAGACCACTCCATAGCATACTCACGGCTTTAGCTTACTTGAGGACACAAACAGTTGGTCTGTTAGCATAGATAACGGTTTAAAGAACTTTCAAAGCTTTCGACATAATAGAACACACGATTCTACTAGGAAAGTTAGTTAGCTATGGAGTTGATCATAAGGCCTTTAGGTGGTTTAACTCTTATCTTAGTGATCGCCGACAAAATTGCCTAGTTAGTGGGAGCAATCTGGGGCGCGGGCCGTTACATGTGGTGTCCCTCAGGGAAGCCGTATTGGGCCACTCCTTTTCCTGATTTATATCAATGACTTGCCTAATTGCCTGACCACCGCCATTCTGCGGATGTACGCTGATGATACTTAAAAGTAGCATTAGCTTTGTCAGCAGCAGCTTTCCTCAACTTGAAGGTGCAATTAATGGTAGGAGAACTTGCTAACTTTCACAAATGGCGAATTGTTAATAAGTTAAGCCTAAACATTGCTAAAACCGAGCTATTGTTGACAGGCTCACGTTAGAGACTTGCAAATAACTTTGATTATTCACTTAACACTCTTTTGGAAGATCAAGTAATCAATGGGGTATGTGACACTAAATCCTTAGGAATTCACATTGACCAATATCTGTCATGGTTCAAACATGTCGATGAGATTGCAAGAACTATCTCCTCTGGTATAGGTGCACTTAGAAGGCTTAGGCCGTACATCTGTGTACATACAGCTTTTACTGCTGTATAGAGCTCTTATCGAGCCACATTTCGACTATTGCTTGCCTGTTTGGGACGGTCTCAACAACGAATTAGCCGATAAATTACAAAAACTACAAAATTGACAAAATTGTGCCATTAGAGTAATCACAAAGTCCGTAGTGCTGTAGTGCTACCGCCCTCCGCACAAATTTAGGATGGGGTAACCTCTATACCAGAAGGAAAAAACAGAAAGCTAAACTAATTTTTAAAGTTTTAATTAAACGAACCCCGGAGTATTTACAAGATCTATTCAAACCATTCACCAGAGAATACGATCTTAGAGACAAGACAAATAAATTAGCTCTGCTCAAGCTCCGTACTGAATTCCTTCAACGAAGTATCTGCTGCAGTGGGGCCCATTTGTGGAATAGCCTTTCCCATAATGAAAGGGTGACCAGATGTTTTATCACGTTTAAAAATGTTATCAATTGAGTTATGCCCCCCTAGTGCTCCCACACGAAAAACATGTAAATCAGATATATTATTTCAATTGTTTATAATTGTAACTGATGTTTTTAATGTGTTTAAATAAAGTGTATGAATGAATGAATGAATGTGCGGGCATCGAGCATAATGTCGTCATAATAGTCATGTTTAGGAGCAGGTTGATAAAATTATCCTGCTAAAAAAAAACATCAAAATAATGTGTTTACATAATGTCTTGTCAATTGTGGGCTTTGTGGCTGCTTTATGCACTTATTTGGCTTTGTTGAAGGCCTAGCTACCTTACTGTAAGTTTGAGAGTGCAACATGGCTTCCAGCTGTTCCAAAGACGTTGTTGTTATTTAAAAGATGGAAATAATATGTCAGCCCCTATTTTGGCTTTTTTTGTTCAAAATTCACCCAGCATCTTTTTAGCATAATGCTAGGGCACGAGCATAAATTCGAGCTTAATGCTATGATTTTAGGAGTGAAGCTCAAAAGCATTAAATGCTCAAATTTTCGAGCATAATTTATCTAACCCCAACGCGACCTGCGTTGTCAAAAACGTTTCAGGATTTTGGGTTTTTCTGCGACGTCAATCAAACCGTTCCTGTAACCTCCACTGAGTTTGTCAAATATAGGCGGCAAAAAAGAGCAGAAGCTGCAAAAGTAAATGTTGGCGGGAACGTACCGATTCGTTTTCACCCTCTTATAGCTGTGCTTCTTCTGGATTTGGAAGCTCTGAGGAACAATTTTTACCTTGGGAATATAGACTTGCAATTTTTCAGTATAAAGAAAAAACGCGCGACCGAACTCTGAAGCTCAAAAGCCTTGAAACACAGAAACCTTAAAACACGTAAAACGGATCAAAATCCACTAATCGCAAAACCATGACACTTTGTTTCCTAGGAGGTTCCCTAAGATGTGAAGGCGGTCGGGAGGTTCAGATCTTGATTGACGTCGTAAAAACCCAAAATTCAAAGACGTTTTTGACATGGCAGGTCGTGTGTATTCGAAACAACTCTAAAAAGAAAGAAATTCGGGGCGTTTAATACAAGAAACACATTTCCACGTGTGGCGAAGATTTTATATCGTAGTAGTTCTCGGCAGTGAACTGCAATTAAAAATCTACAATGAAATTACTTAAAAGGACGAATTCTGTTGCAAGCGAATAACAAGCTGTTGGTTTCTTCTCTACAACTCTTAAGTGGCTCCATAATTATCTTATCGCCCGCTTTCAAAGTATGCATCCAAGATTCAATTCTCTGATATATAGATTTAGCCACGGCCAAAAGAGAAGCTCCCATTGAAAAGTTAAGTGATCATGATTTTGGAGTGAAACAAATCTTGTATCGAGTTGATATAGCCTTATATGTAAACCCAAAAAGGTGTACGGTCAAATTTAAGAGCAATAATGGCTCTTGATCACAGTAGATAAGACGTGGAAAACAAATCAGGCCGAATTTTTTCCGATCGACAAGTTTACAAATTTTTGCCAATAAATCTGGGTGCGTGCAAACCAATCTTTTATTTTTTTTTTTAATACACCACATCTGAGGAGAAAGAGTACTATGAGGCGCTGTTTTTATCATACAGACCTCGTACAAAATGCAGTATTTCACAATTTTTCAAGACAAATTACATTCATTCAATATTCAGGACCATCGAAGCACGCGTGGACTTTTAATTAGCGAAACCGTTCAAAAAATTTCCAAAATCACCTATACGGGCAGCCGGTTCTAACTTTTGACAAGCGCCAAATTTGCGAAGAAATTTTAAAAGAGTTACGCTTCAACGTGATAAAGAATTTATTGAGTCTATTTTTTATTCATGGTTTTATAACGATGTGTAACCTTAAAAAGCGTTTGATACGCTCGGCATTTTGAGTACTCCTGCAAGCGATGTTTATGAACGGCTGAAAACAAACGGCAAAGCGATGAAAATTACACTTTTGAGACTACCAACAATCAATAAAGAAATATAATTCGGTAGAACATTTACAGAGACAACAATTTTCATTCACGAAAACAAATGAGTATTTAAGTGTCTCTAAGAATCCTCAAGTCTTTACTAGTAAGCTTAAAGATTAAGTTTATGTTTTAAGCCGCCGGTTTCCCGGGCCTGTTTGCTGTTTTCAAAGATGAACTCAGGACAAGAAAATCGCTCAAAGCTTTCTTTCTAAAGCCAAAATTATAACTAAATATTCTTCGGAAAGTCTTTTCTTTCTATTTACGGTGAATTAATATCGACTAAAGGCTTTTTAAAGTTCTGTAAGCAAAAGCTTATATCAAACCTCATACTAGGTCAGATCAGTGTCTCAGTCAAATCTTAATATAAACGTGCATAAACTAGCTTCATAAACTGCGCCGCTGGACTTCATGAAATTAGATATAAATACAATAATTACTCAGGCTTACCATATTTCGAGATGCAGCTCCTGAAAGCTATCAAGTAAGGCAAGGATCACTTGAGCCTTTATAATTCTCGCACGCATCCAGCAAAGTGAAAAACAAAAACAATGCCATCCGAAAATGGATTATCGGCTTTGACAAGCGACTCATTTCTCAACGAAAAACCCAATAAACAAACAAGCCATGAATAAGAGAACACTCTTGATAGCAGCTGCATTTCATTTTGTACATCCAGTGGAAAAAGAAAGTTATCATCATAAGTTGACTCAAAACTCTGTCAGCTTCAGCTGTCAAAGTAAACAACTTTCAAGATGCTGTGATCAATTTTACGCATGAACTCACCTGTCAAATTTTAACCAATCAGAGCATAAAAATTGGACGTGGAGCGTGACCAACACGTGACCATGGTAAGAAAAGGTCTTCCCCGCCTGTATTTTAAAAAAACGGGCTTAATTTTTGGGTCTGAGGTCAGTTTGAAATCAAAATCGTAATAGTGCGGGGCGATACTGACATAAACACAACATATTTGATATGAATTTTAAAAAAGTAAACGTGAGCCTGCAATCATTTGAAAACGAATAAATTGTCAGCGGATAACTTCACAAAATACTCGACCTTAATGGGTCGACACCTGAGCCCGCGATACGGTCAGGTGATACTGGTCAGCGGATACCCTGTTTTGACAGCTGTCAATTGATGACAACATTGATGTGCAATCAGCTTCCTCCTGGGCTCCCAAAGTAGCTAGAAAGTGTGAGAGTAAACATTGGTATGCCTGTGGTGCGGACGGACGGTCGATCGCTCGGTCGGTGGGTCACGTGATTACCAAATTTTCTGGGAGCGGTAGATTACCTTAGCTATGGGGCTCCGCCCACGCGCGCGCGTGGAGCTCCGCTATAATAATTATGGTGGTGTGTTCGAGCAACTCGCTCGCTACACGATAAAGTACCAGGAATCTAATTTACCTCTTGGTCTTTATTCTCCTTTGACTTCTGCTAACAATCGTATTCTTAATCTTCTTACTCTTCTTCTCTATTCAATCCTTACTCTCCTCTTCCTCTCCTAATAAGTCAAATAGCAATGGCTTTTATAGGCGCAGCTGGACATGTTTGGGTTGGAATAAAAACAAGGTGAACTCGGTGTGGGTAATGTTTTGGTACTACTGAACCTACACGGTTGCGATCGACAAGAGGCTACTAACCAATGATAAACTAATAACAAAATCCAAAAAGGAACTTCAACGCGATCAATATAATGAACCAAGGTCAGCTCTAACATCACAAACACGACCACCTATCAAAAACTAACATCTAACAATGGCAAGCGAAGAATATTCCGAAAATGGCATTAAGTAAACTCGCGAGCTAAGCAAAAATTCAAGCACAAGTACATGGACAAGACCAAAACAGGAAACTACCCATTTTGTATCACTCCAAGTAGCTATAGTTTTATTTCTCTTAAAAACCATAAATGAGCTGAAATATATCCTGATACCAGATTTTTGGGGCCAAAGTCTTGTCTCACCATGGCAACCTAATACAGCCTTCGTGAATGTAGTGAACTGAAAGCGGAAGCATTTACTTAAAAAAAAGACAATGATATGTGACCCCCAACAGGATTTTGATTCTCAAGGTGAAAGCACGCTCACAACACGCTTCCACTTTAAAACAAAAGAATTCATTTGAACACGTTTTAGCACCTTTGAGACAATTAAAAGTGAGGAAGTTGAACACAAGATCGTGTAAGTGATTTTAAACAACAGCTTGTGTGCGAAATAGCGCAACTCGCTTTCAGCGTGCGCAAAAGCACGCAAGGCGTGTTATCTAGAGCGACAGTACTGCTCAAAAGTACCCGAAACTTGTTTCTCCTCTAGCTTTTAGACGCGAGAATCGCCGGTCTCGGCTCTTGAGGAACGAAAAAAAGCAAACAGAATTTTGGAATATTAACCAGCCAAAAAGATTTCGAGAAAGCAATTTATTGCGTTGCATCTGCAGAAATTGACACAGCCCGTCAGTGCTTTCATGCGTGTGCACCCCCCTTATGTCTTACACTTTGACGAGTAAAAGTTTCACTTTTAGTTGAAAAAAAAAAAAAGCGACGATAGGTTGCTTATCGGAGCTTTTGGACAACTGTGTCGTTTCAAAAGCGGCGAGCTAAGCAGGCAAATTGTCTTCGTCAAGGGCTAATTCGCTTCTTGTAATTCCGGGCAAAATTTTATATCGGTTGATCGAGTTGTTCTGGCTCAAGGAATTAGCCATCGATAAATTGCAATGATTGAATGTATACACGAAGGAAAATGTTTTAAGGTGTTATAGTGTTCGCGTTCTTTTTTACTAAGTGATGGTTTATTGTCATTTTCTATCATTTTCCATAAAACAAATCTATGTGTCGGTTTATTTAAGTTTTATCGACTACTGTAGTTACTTAAATTGCACGCTAAGTGTGCCATAAAGCGCACGCTTACCGTGACAAATATAGCATGCTACAAGAAATAAACGATTTCGCGTGTCAAGTTTACCAAAAGAAAGC